ATTATCAGATCAAAAAAATAGTTTTCTTAAAAATTAGACTAAATCTAGTTTTAAAAATAAGTTTTAGAAATAATAACAACTTATTAGTCATATAATGTTATAGAGGTTGTTAAAAGGTAAAATGTGATTGCAGATGTTAGCTGATATATATATGTGTGTGTGTGTGTGTGTGTGTGTGTGTGTGTGTGTGTGTGCGCGCGCGCGTGTGTGTGCGTGCGCGTGCGTGTGTGCGCGTGTGTGCGTGCGTGTGTGTGTGTGTGTATGTATGTGTGTGTGTACGTACATAATATAATAGCAGATTATAACTATAACTATTTATACATATAACTATTTATATAGTGAATGCCAAGAAAATTAAGCATGATTTAGAAGATTAGATATACTAATATACTGCACAAGTCAGTGGTGTAGCCAAGGGGCTGCATCCCCCTCCCTACCGAAATTCTGAATAATTTCAATAATTTCATAAGAATGTGTAAAAAATTGTTGAATATTAATTTGAGAGAGGAAATTAAATCCTGTTGGGATAGTTCTCATATTTCATTTAGTTACAAAAGTATCGTTTATTACGTATTAAAAATATATTTGTTGATTTTCGTTTGTGTTTGGCACATTAAACATTTGATAAATTACACGGAAAAAATGTTGCTGCAAAAAGTAGCATTAGAAGAATTTCAATTCGCGAAATATCAGCCAGATATTAATATTAATATTTATTATTCAAATTTTTACATTATAATCTTTGACATATTGCGACTTATACAGCTATTTTGAAATTTTCAAAGCACTTTATAATAAAATGATTTTTAATAATATTTTGTTGAGTTTTTTTTCAAACATTAAAGTTGTGTGACGAATGTTGAATTGTTGAATTAAAAATTTCGGGATATTATAATATCTCGGAATATAAAATCAGGATATTATATAAACGCGTTTTTATCTCTAAATAACATGCATAATACATTAATTATAACATGTTAATGGGTTAACATAATAAGCGCGTTCTGCATATGACGGACAATTATTTATAAAAATTGTAAGCGAAATCTTAATCAATATTATATTTATGAAGCATATCAATAAAATTTTAATTTCAATATTTGTTAAAAAACTAATTTGTTAAAAAATTAAATTAAATACATTGAAATTATAATAATCAGATTTTAATTCATATTAATGAAGCGTATTCGCGGCTTGGAACGTAAACGAGATTGTTCTCATTTCACTTTTAAAGCCCAGTTTTCATGTTAACTCTTAATTGAGGTTCTATTTACTCATTATTTCTTTAATTGGAAAGAGATAAGATACAAGTTGAATCGATTAAGAATTAATCATGAGTTGTGAAACTGAGCTAATGAAATTCAAAGTCCTAGTGGATTTTATCGTTATCTTTATTCACGCAGCATGTATGGAAAGGGTTTTATGTTCTAATTTAAAATTCATTATTATGAGATTCCAATGTTATGAAAATTCGTTAAATACAGAATGTTATATAATTAAGTTTCGCTTTGTAATTCTGACATAGAAAATACATCAAATAATATAACATTAAAAGTAAACACAATGATGATTATCTATTTTAAGAATATATATTCTAAGAGATTATTAAGAAATATTGAATAGTTAAGAAATCTTACGATTAATTTAATGACTCAACAAAAGTTATAGTTTGCTTTACGTGTGTGTGTGTGTATGTGGTGTGTGTGTGTGTGTGTGTGTGTGTGTGTGTGTGTGTGTAAATTTATAAAAAAAAATTTGACATATTTCATTTGTTCGATGTGATTTGGAAACTTGATGTGATTTGAAATAAATTGAAATAAACATGTATTTTTTGATTGAAAAATTTCATATGTAAATATAAATAAAATGCGAAGTCTTTCTCTCTATGATACATTTTACAGCAAACATTGATCAAATTCATGTTATTTTTATATGATTTTTTATTTAATATCAATATAAAAATATCAATATAAAAAAATACAAAATCGATGATTATATAATATTAAATTTTAAAATTACTTTGAAATTACTTGAATTATTAATGAATACTTTATATATATATATATATATATACATATATATATATATATAATACTTCACTCTCTTTAATTTTGTGCTATACAATTGATATTTTTCAAATTTCATTTTGTTTGCAAGGTTATTTATAAAAAAATATCATAAAGTTTGAATGTCATTTAACTACAAACGAAAAATGAGTTCCGAATAAGTTTGATAACAAATGTAAGTTGAATTTCGCGATATTATTCAAATGCGTGGCTGAGCATTAATACAAAACGGTACCTGAAGTGAAAGAGATATAAGAACCGAAACCGTTAATTACGCATTCCTGTGTGTGTTGTAAGACGTTTGAGAGAGCCATACATGGATTCTTCGAAATCTGTTATAATTTCATCATGATTATACGGAAAGCAAATGATTTCGTGGTTTCTCGTACGAATTACAGGATATAATCGTCAATTATTGATGCTCGTCTACGATGACGGCATTGCTTTGGAATTGTTGATTTCTACGAATTATATTTCCTACAATATGTGTATGTGAACTCTAATCAAATTCTATTAGCAGATAGCTACAACTATCATCTGCTATCAGGACTGTAATATAATATTAGATTGACAATTATATTGGTAATTTATATAATAATATATCAATTTCTCTTTAGACATATTTAAATAATTTAAAATGTGTGTGTGTGTGTGTGTGTGTGTGTGTGTGTGTGTGTGTGTGTGAGTGAGAGTGAGAGACTTATGTGATTTATAAGGGATTATATAAGTAAAGTTAGCACACGATGCGTGATTTTCATGTTTACTTTCTTGCATGCTGATCAATGTTGTTACTCAGCTTGCTGTATAAATGCACAAAGGTGGCAACCGTGACTCTACCTTATACATTTCACGTACGCATGACACCAATCAATCACGTGAGTGATTCTTAACATTTTGATTAGCACGTTCAAGAAAACGAGCATGAAATAATGCACATCAAACGCAGAAATTAAGAATGGTATTCTTCGCTCAATGTATCATAAGATGTTTAGCACACATCAGAGCAGACTCAGCAGCAGTAAGAAATCATATGTGGCACATTATGCAAGGAATCATGTGTGGCCAGCTTAAATATCCGATGGGAGGGATATCATAGATATATCTATACATGCAGTGACAGCGAATGCTTTCAGTCGGCTTACAACCTTTATAAGTATACCATTTACTTGTTTTATTTATTCAGGATTTATTTGAGAAAATAATCTTCAAATAGTGAAAACATTTTTCTATTCATTATTTACGGAATCTTCTTCGTTATAATTGACATCGGTTTCAAATTTCAACATTCTTTCTCATTATACAATATATCTTAACATTTGCAATAAAAAAATATAGTGCATCTTATGTAAGTATGTATATTTAAATCTTTATACATGAACAAAATATTCTGCTGTGGCTCTATCTAATTATTATATGTCATCGTTTATAATATTTTACTAAATTAATTGGTAGTCGCGTGTAGTAGTGACTTTTTAGTAATTACATTTTAGGAACTGAATATTGAAATAATATTGCTAGTTATTATATGTGTATATCGGTATCATATATATATCTTTTTTTATATTTTTATTTAATATCGATATTCCAAAAATCTTTAATAAATATCGGTATTGAAGATCAAATATACGGATTTATAATCAAAATTTTCATAATACGGTATGTACATAATTTTTCAATAATATCAGTAATAAAATACAAATAAATTGTTGATATTAAATACGAATAAAAATACGAATAAATTATTAAATATTGATATAAAATTCTACGTTAAAAATGTAAATTCATAAACATTATCAGGTCATATTTATATTTTTATGATTACGTATCGTATTATCATTTAATTTATAATTGATTTGTTATATAACATACTGAAGATAATTTGAAGATACCTAATATAGCCGAAACGTTTATGAATTTACATTTTGAACGTATTTTAAAATATTTGACATTCGCAAAAAACATCTTGCGTGTGACTGAATGCTCTTTTTATTGTTTATAAAGATTACATTATAGACGATTTTATTTTATTTTATTATTGTTTTATATGTTTTAATTAGAATTAAATAAAATAATGACAATTATCCATGATTAAATCGTATTAACTGCGGATCAATTCACCAAATGTTTTATCCTTTTGAGTGGTATTATCCCACAAGAATAATAAAAATGATTTGCACATGCACATAATATGTTTAATGAAATTATAATTGACGATTCACATCTAATTCTAGGGTCTAACTGTGGATCATGATGCAATTTTAACACATTCAATTATTTAAAATTTATTTACATTT